ATGCCTCTGAGCACGATGTTGCTTTCGATGATAAGGGTATCATGGTGCTGGGATCTGGTGTGTACCGCATTGGTTCTTCTGTCGAGTTCGATTGGTGTTCCGTGCGAACCATCCGTACTCTTCGCGAACAGGGCCACAAGACCGTCATGGTCAACTACAACCCTGAAACCGTCAGTACCGATTACGACGAGGCCGATCGGTTGTACTTCGAAAACATCAACCTGGAAACCGTCCTGGATATCTACCAGCTGGAAACCTCGAGCGGTGTTATCATCTCTATGGGTGGTCAGACCCCCAATAACATCGCCCTGCCTCTCCACCGTCTCAACGTGAACATCCTGGGTACCTCGCCTGAGATGATTGACGGTGCCGAGAACCGTTACAAGTTCTCTCGCATGCTTGACCGCATCGATGTCGACCAGCCGTCCTGGAAGGAACTTACCAGTATCGAGGAGGCCACCGAGTTCTGCGACAAGGTTGGCTATCCCGTGTTGGTCCGACCCTCCTATGTGCTCTCGGGTGCCGCCATGAACACGGTCTACTCCCAGCACGACCTGGCCACCTACTTGAACCAGGCTGCGGACGTGTCGCGTGACCACCCCGTTGTCATCACTAAGTACATCGAGAATGCGAAGGAGATTGAGATGGACGCTGTGGCCCGCAACGGTGTCATGGTCGGACACTTCATCTCCGAGCACGTTGAGAATGCCGGTGTCCACTCTGGTGATGCCACCTTGATCCTGCCGCCCCAGGATCTGGACCCCGAGACTGTCCGCCGCATCGTGGAGGCCACCCGGAAGATCGGAAATGCCCTTAACGTCACCGGTCCTTACAACATCCAGTTCATCGCCAAGGACAACGATATCAAGGTCATCGAGTGCAACGTCCGTGCCTCTCGATCCTTCCCCTTCGTTTCCAAGGTCATGGGTGTTGATCTGATCGAGATGGCCACTAAGGCCATGATCGGCGCTCCTTTCGCGGAGTACCCTCCCGTCAGCATCCCTAAGGACTACGTTGGTGTCAAGGTGCCCCAGTTCTCCTTCTCTCGCCTTTCCGGAGCCGATCCCGTCCTTGGTGTTGAGATGGCTTCAACCGGAGAAGTCGCTTCTTTCGGTCGTGATAAGTACGAGGCTTACCTGAAGGCGCTCCTGTCTACTGGTTTCCGTCTTCCCAAGCGCAACATCTTGTTCTCCATTGGCTCTTACAAGGAGAAGCTCGAGATGCTGCCCTCGATCGAAAAGCTGCACCGTATCGGGTTCAACCTCTTCGCTACTGCCGGTACTGCCGACTTCTTGAAGGAGCACGGCGTTCCCGTTAAGTACCTGGAGGTTCTCCCGGGACAGGAGGAGGACATCAAGTCGGAGTACTCTCTCACTCAGCACTTGGCCAACAACCTCATCGACCTGTACATCAACCTGCCGTCGAACAACCGATTCAGACGTCCTGCCAACTACATGAGTAAGGGTTACCAGACGCGTCGTATGGCCGTTGACTACCAGACTCCCCTGGTGACCAACGTCAAGAACGCCAAGATCCTCATCGAGGCGATTGCCCGCCATTACGACCTGAACGTGCGCACCATCGACTACCAGACCAGCCACCGCACCATCATCCTCCCTGGACTGATCAATATTGCCGCGTTCGTGCCCGATCTGATGAAGCCCGGCTCTAAGGACTTCGAAGTCATGACCAAGGCCTCGATTGCGGCTGGTTTCAGCATGGTGCGCGTCATGCCCGCCGGTGTCGATGCCTCCGTTACGGATGCCCGCGCCCTGAGAGTTGTTCAGCAGAACGCCCACAACGCCGCCTGCGACTTCAACTTCTCGGTCGTGGCCACCTCCGACAACTCGGAGCAGATCGGCCAGGTGACTAGCGATGTGGGATCTCTTTTCATTCCCTTCAACCACCTCTCTGGCAACATCAGCAAGGTCGCCGCGGTCACCAGCCACTTTGGCGCATGGCCCTCCAGCAAGCCCATCATTACCGACGCCAAGTCGACTGATCTTGCCTCGGTTCTACTGTTGGCCAGCCTCCACAGCCGCAACATCCACGTCATGAGTGTGACCTCCAAGGAGGACATCGGCCTCATCGCGCTCAGCAAGGAGAAGGGCCTCAAGGTGACTTGCGATGTCTCCGTCTTCTGCCTTTTCCTCTCGAAGGATGACTTCCCGGAGTGCAGCTTCCTGTCCTCCGCCGAAGACCAGAAGGCCCTTTGGGAGCACCTCAGCACCATCGACGTCTTCTCCATCGGCAGCATCCCCTACCAGCTGGCTGGTGACAAGGCTTCCCCCGTCGTTGGTATCGCCGAGACCTTGCCCCTGCTGTTCACCGCCGTCTCCGAGGGTCGCCTGACCATTGAGGATATCATTGCTCGCCTGTACGAGAACCCCAAGAAGATCTTCGAACTCCATGACCAGGCCGACAGCTCCGTTGAGATCGAGATTGACCGTCCCTACCTGTACCAGAGCCCCCAGGCCTGGTCTCCTTTCAACGGCAAGCACGTCAAGGGATCTGTCCAGCGCGTGACCTTCCAGGGCAAGACTTCTTGTCTCGATGGTACCGTCACTCCCGATGCCGCCAAGGGTGTCGATATGTCCGGACACCGCATTGTGCCCGCGTCTCCTTCCGTCAAGGCCATGTCGCCCTTAGTGCAGCAGGCTGACAGACGCCCGTCGATCTCGGGCACCCCTAGCCGCCCTTTCCGCAAGGGTCTGGAGCAGATCGGAGCCCCGACCGAGCTTGGCCCTCCTCTGTACCCCACCGTGCCCCAGGCGTCGTCTTCTCTGCTTGACATGCTCTCGCGTTCTTCCTTCAAGCAGAAGCACGTCCTCTCCGTCAACCAGTTCACTCGGGCTGATCTGCATCTGCTGTTCACCGTCGCTCAGGAGATGCGCCTCGGTGTCCAGCGCCAGGGTGTTCTTGACCTCTTGAAGGGTCGTGTTCTTTGCACCCTCTTCTACGAGCCCTCAACCCGGACTTCCGCTTCTTTCGATGCGGCCATGCAGCGCCTTGGAGGTCGCACCGTGATCATCTCGACCGAGCACTCATCTACCAAGAAGGGTGAGACCCTGCAGGACACGCTCCGCACCCTGGGCTGCTACGGAGATGCCGTCGTCCTTCGCCACCCCGAGCCGACCAGCACCGCGGTTGCTGCCAAGTTCTCGCAGGTCCCCGTCATCAATGGTGGCAACGGTAGCGTTGAGCACCCCACTCAGGCTTTCCTTGATCTCTTCACCATCCGTGAGGAGCTTGGAACCGTGACTGGTCTGACCATCACTTTCACTGGTGATCTGCGGTACGGACGCACGGTCCACTCGCTCATCAAGTTGCTCCAGTTCTACGATGTCCGCATCCAGCTGGTTGCCCCTAAGGATCTTTCTCTGCCTGAGGAGGTTCGCAAGCAGATCCGTGCTTCCGGACAGCTGGTTGTCGAGTCTGAGAAGTTGACTCCCGAGATCGTTGCGCAGTCCGACGTTCTGTACTCCACCCGCGTGCAGAAGGAGCGGTTCGCCGATCTTGAGCAGTACGAGCGCCTCAAGAACAGCTTTGTCATTGACAACGCTCTGCTCAAGCATGCCAAGAGCCACATGGTCGTGATGCACCCTCTGCCTAGAAACGCAGAGATCGCTGAGGAGGTTGACTTCGACCAGCGGGCTGCGTACTTCCGCCAGGTTAGTTTCCCCCCTGTCCCCCGATATTGTTCATGTCAATACTAACTTCTATCTAGATGAGATATGGCCTCTACTGTCGCATGGCTCTGCTTGCATTGATTATGGCTCCTTAGGTCATTTCAGGGACCTTTTTATATGATCAAATTCCTTTTGATATCCGTGTCATGGCAGATGACCCCGTTTTCTGCGTTGTTTGACTTGCGTTGCTGAATTTTCCGGCATTCGATGTTTAAAAGTTATGCAGTTTCTTTACATATACCGCGTAGCCTTTTCGCGAGGGAACTTAGAAATGTTCCGCACGATAGATTAGATGAATTTCCTTTACTTCCTTATGAATTCGACGAATTCGTTATGTGTTATGTATGTGGTTGTACCGTGTGTATATCTATGTTTTCATGGTTATACGTGTGGTGTGTGTTGTGTGTGTTTTGTGTTTTGTGTGTTGTGTGTGTGGCGTTCGTTGCGTTCATTTGGTTTTTTGGTTTCTTTTTCATTTTGGCGTTTTTTCTTTCTTTCTTTCTTTCTTCTTTTTCTCTGGCGCTCTTTGATTCCTTTTCTTTTCTTTCGGACATGGATTTGGGATCTGGGATGGGAATACCAAACAATATGGGCGTTACAAATCGGGGTTTGGGAAGGCAATTGGATGCCTGGATGCCTGGAACGGCTACTTCAACTTGATACCCCTCACATTATGATGAACAATGAATGATACTGGATTTACAAAATACAATGATCCTCGATTTCTATTCTACTTCTTGACCACCTGTCTTTGAGCAATTCCTTAGATGATCACTGTTCCGACTAATTTATTGGGATACAGATCATAGAGTCGGCGCTGGCCTACCTATCTAGGGCATGAAAGTGCACGTGCCGTGCCTGACAGCCTGGTTCCCTGTGGACCCGACCTCGGGGACTTGTTGGTGTCCGGGGGTGGGAGGAGAGGGGGAGGGAGTAGTATTAGTTATTGATTATTTGTCACAGTGGTACATAGAAATAGAAGGGCAGATAAATAGAGTATAGGTAAGGAAGGGAGATATGGATAGATAAACTAACTTTCCAAAGTGGCTTGAGCAATAGTAGCTCCGACCGTGTGGTTAGACCAGAAAGAACATTCTTTGCCAAATTGGAAATATATAGGCTATCATGTTTTTATTATCTTCCTCTTGGTATGTATTATGGGTATTCCATGAAAAACTCTTATCGGTACTGCTAGTCAAGCGACCATTAGGCGTAGCCTTTAGACGGACCGGTATGCAAAGGAGGTTTTTACAAAGAAGAGCCTGTGTACAACTCTGCTTTATGTATAGGATATATCAGCAATATTCTTCTTTAAAGAGGTCCCCATTTCTCAAACCCGAACGCCTGCACCGAGCCACCATCCTGATTTGAGGCAAACACCGCATCCTCAAACGTAGGATCAAACTCCCCATCCGCAAACCTCTCGTGGACCATCCCCACCTTCTGCGCGAGCAACGGAAGTGGCAACTTTTCATGCATTGGAACCGTCTCGATCTTTCCATTCGCGTAATCCTTTACGTGAATCTTGTAGTTGTCTGCACTAATATTAAACATGATCCTCGCGCCCGTGATTCGGATCTGGCCTTTCTCGTTGAAGATATCCCACACGAGGCCATCATCTTGGAATGCGTCTCCGCCCCAAAGAACATACGTATACTAGACGTCCTTGCCCGTGACTCCATGAAGAGACGCATAGTTGTCGGCCGTTTTCCTGACACCGGTTCCAATAACCTCCTCGCTATCGAGAAAATCCAAGTATGATTTGTGTGCTTGCTGAGTCTGGATCGCTGTGTGTTAATAGTGTTAGTTATACGTAGTCGCTCCTAAACACTTTTCTTCAGCAATACCGCGGTATAACGCTGGCAATACGGCATACGGCATTGCCCGTTTTGATACCTGAGGCCTGCGGGATGAGGAGGTTGGTATCAGCTGACAGCATCATGTGCCGCTGGCCGAGTATAAACCTCCCCCCCTCTTTTGCCGAACTTCCTCACTTTTCATCATTTGTTCCTTACTTTCTTCACGCTCTTTGCCCCCTCCCCTTCTTATCACCATGCGATTTTCTGTCGACGGGGTCGTAGAGCTACTGACGACATGCGATGCTAGAACGCGTCCAATTCGCCCGCTATCAAGCATCTCCTGCAATGTAGAATGGACGCGACCGACTCAATAGCTGGCTTGATGATCTTGTAATGAGAGAGCATGACGAAGATGCTGACGACAAGGTCCACGGTATCGGAGTTGCCTCGTCTGAGGGGCAGGCTTTGGTTGACTTTGGGATGTTGTATTGTTCGAGGACTTTGTTGCTGTTTTCGATGGAGGAGTAGAAGATCGGTGTGATTGTGTATCTTATGGAGCGCTGGAGATACGGTAGATGGGCGATTTGGGCCCAGCCGACCCTTTGGGAAAGGCCGATCAATGCGACGTGGATGGGTGTGATGGTGGTGTGTCGCGAGAGGGGTCCACGATGGCGATTTGGATTTGACCTGCACTTCAGCCTTACGGATTAAAGACGACATATCCGCTCATGGGGATTATATAAACTCAATAAATCTATCACTCTATATAGAATAGTAATTTACAGTAACTAATTCTCCTAGACGCAGGTGAAGGATGATGCATTCCTAGAATCGCCTCCGACAAACTTCTGCTGGCGAGGATACAGGCACAAGTCTCGTTCCGTATTGTTGCTTCCTTTGGTGCCGTGCAGGGTTTCAGGAGCAATGCCCTTCTCCACCCACTCCATGAGTTGAGAGAGCGCTCCATTCGGGACCGGTCCCCCGCCACCATAGCAGTGGCCAACCCCCGGTGCTTCAAACAAACGGTAAAAGTCATTGGCCTTGGGATCCATCTTCAAGATTTCCTCGAAATACTTGGTTGACCCTCTGGGAGGAATAACTTCGTCCGCAAGACCGTGCCAGGTGATCAGCTTGCCACCACTTCCCTTGAATTCCGAGAGGTCGGGGTTGGTGTTTGAAACCATGGACGAGTACTGGCGAGTTGAGGCATGGAGGTTCTTGAAGAATTCCGATTGAGTCATGTTGTTCAAGGCGAATTCGGGGTCTTTGGCAACGAGATACCGGAACCAATTGCCAGTCAGATCAGCTCCGGATGAATAACAGGTTCCATTTGCAGCACAGGCAGTGGGAACACAGATCGTGGTGAGATCTGCATCCTTGTTGACCCCAAACCAGCCTTCTTTACCAGAGCCCGACCAAGCGGCCTGGACCGCCCGTGCACCGGCAGCAGTCAGCTTGCTCTTTTTCCCATCGCAGGTGAATTCCTGCCCCACGAAGCTTTGGGCGGTGACGTTGCATTGATCAGGTGCACTGATAATCCCGTCTTGAGCCCCATCCAGTAAATCGCAAGCGTTCACGGCTGCATGAGCAAATCCCCGAACCTCACAGGGTGATGGGTAGGCGTGGTGTTGATTCATAACCTGGGTGGGCCAGAATGCCGCAGGGATGAAAGTCTCCAGGTTGATTGCAGGAGCAACGGCTAACATTCCGTCAAACGAACCAGGGAAGTCTTGAGCCATAGCAAGGCCTTGCCGCCCGCCACCCGAACATCCCGAGAAGTAGGAGTACTTTGCTGCTTTCTGGTAGTAGGATTTGGTGATTTGCTTTCCAATGAGAGCCATATCGTTGGTGGCCTTCGAGGCGTAGTTCTCAAATAGAAACCAGTTCACGTTGTTCTTGCTGCTGAGAGCCCAGCTGAGGTCTGTGGGAATAGTTCCCGCTCCAGTGCTATGCCCGCCATCTGTGGAAGCAGATGCAAATCCCTGGGCAACGGCATAGGTGAGATAGATAGAGCCGAATCCTGTACCGTAGCCACCACCGCCGAGGCCTTGGAAACGGCCATTCCAATCTTCGAGTGGGAGCCACACTTGGGTGGTAATGGTGTCGTTCCAACCGGGGTGGGTGTGTAGGACCGTGATATTGCAGAAGCTGATGGTGAAATGACCGCCATCATTGGTTCCAGGACCAAGGCTCACTGCAGAATAGTTGTGGGCTTCGTTGGCATGGATTCCAAGAATGGAACCGCCTGGCAAGTGAGGCTTGAGGAGGTATTTAGAAGAGCATCTAGATGCAGACGCAACATCGAAAAGAATGGCGCTCAAACAGAGCAACGGGCTCAAGAGGGAAAGCATAATGGGACCTGGTGTTGGATGATAGATGAAAGACACAAGGACAATTAGTTCTTATATACATCGAGACCCCAGATTGCCAAGCTCCCCAGTCGAATGAACCATGGACTATGTTCGCGCGTATGCACGGACCATTGGCTTTGTATTCGCCCCACTTTTTGCAAATCTGCATCATCGAACTATACGCGTATTCGGGACTCCCTAAAATGTTTAGGATGAAAAACCCCTTTGCCGGCTATATTCACGGCCATGCTGGGCAAACTTGGTCAAGCTGGAGCCAGGTGAAAATAATAGAGCCGCGGAATTGCCCCGTAGGAGGCTTGAATCTCGGCTCCAGGAATACGGATATATTATGTGGAGATCCTGACTACAAGCATCAAGTTTCAAGGGAGGATTAAGGGATATCTTAAACAGGTTCCATGGGAGATAAACGGCTAGCATAGAATTTGTGTTCTTTTCAGGTTATCTCTGAATATCTTTTAGCCTTCGACAAAATGGGTTATCCGGTCGTTCCTGCTTCTCTGTGTGCCGCGTTTGCAGTGGCGACTCCACCCTCCCTCCCGGGAATAACTGTTCTCCATCTTCATCAGGTACTAATAGGATCCTCATAAAATTTTCATTAAAGGGATAGATACGAACATTGATTGTTCAAACCGGTAGACAAAGTAGCCATCGCTGTATACAACCTTTCTTCCAAACCCAACAGATCCGAGGGACTGTCATGATTCCAAGAACTCTCATCCACGCTGCTTTATTTTATAGCCCTTTTTATGAACTCCTAGGGTGAGCTTATAGTAGAAGCGTAGGGATAGTTCATGGGACATTGAATTATTTAACAACTCAGGCTGTTCACTAGTAGTTGGGAGCACAATTTCCGCTTCGAGGGATATACACACTCCTGCCTATCAAATGAACCTGCGCCATAATCCTTTTTCAGAGTAGACCAGAATTTTTTTCCTGATTCCTTTTCCTTCTTCTCTTGCGACTCTGAATATAACTATGCCCCTGTGGAGATCTCCACTTGGGATTCTCTCTGTATGAAACAGATTGCACTCCCGATCATTTGTATCCAACAGATTTTTCATGATGGGCTTTTTCATCAGTCGTTTAGTTGCAAGCAGTGACCCTACTGATGAGTTGACAAGTCCGCTGGAGAAACGTGCATTTATATATTAGTCCACTCAGAGACTTTTGAGTTACCTGTACTCCGGACGGTAGAAAGTTACCCTCAGAGAGTGGGAAATAGTTGCCGAGCAATCGGGCTCGGATTACACTGTTCAAGGCCTCATGTACCAGATTTGAAAAAGCAAAATCAATATATGTGCCAACAGAGTGCTTGATCCTTCTAAATGAAAGAAAAACGCTTTGAAACAATAGCAATTCGGGTTATATGAACTGCCAAAATAATTGCACTATATATTCCACTATTTTCTTGTTTCTGATACATACGACCACAGGGTGTGGAGAACAGGGCTTCCCGTCCGTTCAGCCGTACTTAAGCCACCTTCAGCACTAAAACCCCCGAGGCACAGCGACGAAGGAACTGGAAAGCCTGCAGTGTCAAAGACCTGCAAAGCTTCGTGGACCTCAACCTCCAGAGCAAGGCCTTTCCCTTACAAACAAAGCAGCATATTGAGCTCGCTATAGAATACCTTATCGAGACGATCAACCAAGGAATCGCTGCCTCCACTCCGTGGGCGAAGCCCAGCAAATGGGCGAACCCTTCATTCAATGCGGAATGCCGCGAAATGGTCAAGATCACCCGGAAATTCCGGCGTGAGTACACGGAATCAGTTATTGCGAACGGCCCTACCGACCCCACTACAGGCCTCCGGTGGGAGCGCTATACCAAAGTCAGGAACCGCAAAGGAAAAGTATTGGCTAAGGCACTACGCCA